GAGCGCGCCTTGGCGGGAGGCAGGGGCCGCCCCTCGCGGCAATGAGCCTGGGCTGCGTGTCGGGTCCGCAGCCCGCCCTGCTCAAACCTGGAGGCTGGGGAGCTGGGTTCGCTCCCTTCGCTCGTCTGGGGATGCCGGTGGCTTTTCGCTCTGCCGCGGGAGTCTGTGCGGGGTGGCTCTGGGAAGGGGAGGCCAGGGGCCCCTGGCCCTTCGGCGGCACGGGGGTAGGACCCGGCCCTCGCTGCGTCAGGCCTGCCTCCCCGAGGGACAACCGAGGGGGTGGCGGGGGTGGTTGAGTCTCCAGAAGTTTGTAGCAAAGTGCAGTTGTGTGCATCAGAAATCAAGAGTGACAATTCTTCTCAATGCGTCACAGTCTCCTTACTTTACTATGCGTGTCTGTCTGTCTGTCCATGTGGGAGTCCCTTTGTTCAAGAACTGCTCTTACATGATAAGGGTGAGGGCCACCAAATTTGGTATCCAGTTTCCTCATACCATTACTTAAAGCAAGTCCAGGTTTGATTGTGCTAGGACAATGTGATGTGCCTGAAATTCAATTGTTTCTCTCAAAATGGAAAGGAAGGGGGTCTGGCAGGAGGAACAGTTATACTGCAGAATGTCCAAAGGGGGCAACAAGGGGCTAGAGATGGGGGCCAATACACCTATAACCCCATTGGACCAGCAGGGGGCAGGGGTGGAGAAAGGGACAGCTATCTACTATATATTTCAGTGAGTTTGTGTGTCTGTCTGTCCCTGAGCCAAGGGACATGCACCCCTACCCTGGCTGTGCTTGCTGTAGTGGCCAGGGACAGATGCTTCTCACCTGGCCACAAGCTGCTGAGGTGAGAGAGGGCCGGGGTTGTCCTCTCTCCCTGGGGCAGTCTGCATACTGAACCCCACATCCCCAGCCCCACCCCAGTAACTTCTATATTGTTTACTTTAGTAACCAAGATTTCACACACAAGACAAGTGTGAGTGTGCAACAGAACAAGCAAGCAGGCTTACTGATAGAAAATTGGAAAATAGCTATATGAGAGCAGTAGTCAGAGGGGAAAACTTGGCTCCTGAACTGTTGGTGAATTGACTCTAAGAGCTGTTTTGATGCTGCCTCTCTGTGAGTCACTTTGCAGTTTTGCAAACTCATGCAGGCGTGAGTGGTGGGTGAACCACTGGCTTGGGGAGACAAGCCCCAGTCGGGGTCCTTGTGCTCAAGTGTTACCAGATTTGCCCATTACTCTGGAGTATGCTCATTTATTAGGGTTACTCTAATGGGGGAAGAGGAAGTTAATTTTTCTATCATTGTGCTGCTTGTGTTACTTGTGCTCTCGTATGAAGCTTTATTTCTCCTTTCTGCCAATTCCCTCCCAATGGAGCTCTCCTGCAGGAACTATGTTCCCCAGAACTGGGTTCTTCCCACCCTACAATCAGATGAACACACAAACACTCACATCCACTAGCAGACCATGTTTGAGAGGACAGATTAATCAGCACTCACAAGATGACTCCTTATATGTTCCTGGTCTCAGTAGGCTTGGTTGCACAGCAATGCCACGCTGTGACCTTCATGTGTCCTTGTACTTAATGGGCTGCGTTAAACTGCACTTTAAGATGCCACCCTCATATGCCCCCAAGTTCAGTACCTCCCTCTCCCCACTTTCACACCACAACCATTCTGCTAGTAACCTACTTGATGAGCGAACCCCCCAGGATTTTTGGGTGCTACAGGGATCTTTAGCTTACAAGCAACATTGTTGCAAAGTGAATGGGGAAGCCAAAACGCTCCTGAGGGAGAGCGGGAGACACAGAGAGAGAGAGAGAGGAAAAGAGAGAAAAGCAACCAGCTTAACAATGAAAGTTATTTATGTCTAGGTAGTAACCATACATAGGGAGCCAAACAAAGACAACAGTTACAATATTACATATAACAAATCTGATTACAAATGTTAGGTCTAGCAAACCATAACTAATCACATAAGGCAGTGTAAGGGGCTATACCTACAGAGAGGCAAGAGCTGGGGTGGGTGAAGAGATCTCACCCCTCCGTGAAGCTTGCACTGATTGGGATTCCTAGATAACGATGGTGGCCAAGGGTCCAGAGTGCTGGAGACAGGCAAAGCAGAGCAGAGCCCCCACCAGAATCAGTCAGGAGAAGATGAAGTCCCAATGGAAGTGATTTAGACTTTAGATTCAGGCATCAAAACTTTACTTGAGCAGAGGTAAGAGTTTTTGTAGGGACAGAGCAATGGTTCAAGGAGAACACTGGATTTGTTTAAGAGTAAACAGATAGTTCAAGGAAGTATTCAAAAGTTGTTGTGTTTAGGCTAGAAAATCAAAAGTGATCATTCCTAGCTATGGGTTGTGTTCCGTGAGAGAACTCATAATGCAATAAGGCAATTTCAGTATTTTGGATATCAATAGAGGACCTTGCATATTCAAAAGCTTCAGAGGATAGCCAAGTTAGTCTGTAACTGGGAAAACTTAAAAAACAATGAATAGTCTAGCAGCATCTTAAAGACTAACAAAACATATAGTTGGTATCATGAGCTTTTGTGGGTACAGCTCATAAGAAGTGGGTTGTACCCACAAAAGCTCATGATACCGACTACATGTTTTGTTAGTCTTTAAGATGATGCTAGACTTTTTATTGTTTTTTAATAGAGGATCTGTAACTAAAATTGGTCTGTTAATTACTGATTTGGGTGTGAGCAAGCATGGGTTTGTTAGCATCTGGGGCAGAGATTTCCCACCAGACAATGCTTTTCTATTTTCAGTATCCCATAGTTCAGTGTGGTTCTTGCTCTGGAAGTGCTGTTCTCCATTCTACATGCTAATGTAAATGTCTGTCACTTCTGGTTTGATGCAGATGAGGCTAAGGGTGTTTCCTTAAGACCCCTAGGGGTTGTCCAGAGGGGTTTCGGTGTGTCTTCCTTTACCTTTTCATTGCTTTATCTTTGGTTCAAGCAGATAAAGGTTTCCCAGGGCTAACAGTTGACCACCTCTTGGTTCCCCAAAACACAGAACTGGTGGGTAGCAAGACACACATACCCCGCTGATGGGGTGCTTGTGCTGAGCAAATATCCCCATCACACCCTTAGTTTGTTGTAGTGGTTCTGGTCTTCAATCCATTGCAGCAGCTGCATCAATCGTTGGATCCAGCAAACCAGCAGAATCAGACCAATTACTGGTATAATTTGGAAACCAGTGATCACCACAATGGAGTGAAGCATAATATTTAAAAGACCTGTTGCACTGGGGCTCCACCCAAGCAAAGTCTCCCACCAGGAGTTATGGCCTGTGTTTTTAATTGTTAGCCTAGAGATCTCCTGATTGTGGTGCTGAACCTTGAGTTTGCCTGTCTCTCCCATAATTCAGAGCTTCTGACACTCATTTTGTAAGGAGGCATGCATTAATATTCTCTTATTAGCAGTGAGATCCATTTCCAGTATGATGGGGAAAATCTCATATAGCTCAGCGTAGGCTTTTAAATGTGGTACAGTCCATATAGGCACGGTAAACTTATTATCACATTTAACTAATTAAACATCTGGTAGTGTGTCTGCTCCTTTGGCTGGGCTGATTTAACTACGTGTGACCTTTTTCATTAAAACAGCTTCACTTAGGATTGCTTACAGAATGTTGGTTGGTTGGATTTTTTCTGTTGAATGCTTCTAGCCAAACTGAAGGACCAATTATAGTATTCAGTGGTTGTTTGAGAATATAGATAGAGACTGAAGAGTGTTACCAAGCCAACTGTGGAAATGAGTAATCTAGTTGGTGTAAAGGTCTTGCTTCAACAAATGTATATTATTATTATTATTTTATTTTGTTTTATTATTTTATTTATTGTATTCCTTTCTACAGTAATGATTTTAATCTTTTAAAAATATTGTCCTATATAAATCACATTTTGTGAGTTGGAAGTGTTTCCAGGTTTATCCTAACTAGGTATGATTAGAAATCTGAACTCTGCTAGGAGTGAACAATTGCTAATATTTTGTGGAGTTTTTTGCTTAATATGAAACTCTTAACCGCTTCCATTAAAAACAAGTGGACCCAATCCTACATGGCATGCACTTGCAGATTTCCTATGGATTGCAATGCAGCTATTGGTTTGCAAGTAGATTTTCATCAAGTACCTGTGTTTTTTAAATTGTTTGCTTCTCCTCTACAGATGGAAGACTGGGTTTGCTGTCTCTTTGGTTTTTGTGCGGTGTTTTCTCCAATTGTCCTTGGCTTTCCAAGTGGAAATATCAGTCCAGCTTGTGATTCAATGTTACCTGTCCATGATAACTCTGTTTCACAAACTACTTCAGCACCTTACAAGATCTCTATATCCAACACTTCATTTGACCCAGGAAATAAGATCACAGGTAATTTAAAATTCTGAATAATTTGGAGTGTCTGGATATGCTTTAAATGAATGTAAATTTTTTAAAGAAAAATCAAATCAAGTTGTAAAGAGGCTCTTTATTTCAGATCATTGATTGTGACCATTTTAATTACAGTAATTCCACATTTAACACTATAGATATGTTTCAGAAAATGACCGTGTTGAGTGAAAACGTGTTATGTGGGGTCAATTTTCCCATTGAAAATAATGGAAAAGGTGGAGGTTGCGTTTCAAACAGTGGCGTCTGTTGGGACTAGGACATAAGGTTGGGGGAGAAAGGGGACTGGCTAACAGCAGGGAGGGGAGGTGTTTGGCTCTGGGGAAGGGAAGGGGCGGAGAAGGGAGGAAGATTGGGTTGGGAGTATGCCCCTGTGACGGGTCTGCTGGGACCTGCACTGTGTCCGGCGAGGGGGCGTCGCCGAGGAATGGCACTGCGAGCAGCGAATCCTCTGCTACTTTGCAGGGAGGCGGGGGAAGCCCCTTGCAGCCACCGGTGAACGGCTGGCTGGGGAAATAGTGTTATTCCGGGGATAGTCGTGAATTCAAAAAACGTTCCGTAAAAAAATCGGGCTATCGCGAAAACGTGTTAAGCAGGCACATGTTAAATGAGGAATTACTATACAGTACATTGTGCTATGCAAAACCAGAATACCACTGTAATTTACAATTTCTTATGCTCTCCCCCTCCCCATTCTGCAGTCTAGGAAAAGCAATGTGTCCTATTTTCTTGGTTTGGGGTTTAGATTTATTTAAAACATGCCTCTCATGGTTTTTAATGTAAAAGCACATAGCTCTCTCACTACCTTTATATATAGTTCTTTGTATCTGTAGATCTCAAAATAACAAACGGGGGGGGACAGCGCACCTCCTGAGTGATACCGTGGGTCACCTCTGATGACATAAAAGTGGCTGACACTAGTAAATATTTTAATTGACTACTTGAAGTAACTGCCATATCTTTGTCCTTCAGTGACTCTACAAACAATTGACAATTCCAGTTTTGAAGGATTTTTACTGCAGGCCCGGGCAGTTAGAGGAAATAGTATTGTTGGTACTTTTCAGATCATAGACCCTAACACGCAAGGTCTTTTGTGTAACCAACTTGAGGTATGTGGTCACATTTTGAAGTAGTTTGTTGAACTTAGAAGTTATTTTGCTTGCATTATGTGAAAGACATGATAAATATTGTCTTTTTGCATTACAGGCAGTCCCCGACTTACGCGGATCCGACTTATGTCGGATCCACACTTACAAACGGGGCTTTTCTCGCCCCAGAGCTCACGGGCGGCGGGTCGCCACCATGTCCTCCGGGGCGAGAAAAGCTTCTCCCGGTCTCCCTGGTCTGCTGGGGGGGTCCAGCAGACCAGGGACACCTGAGCAAAGCCACCGCCTGGGAGCAAAGCCGCTCAGGCAGCGGGACCCCCGGGCTCCCTCCAGCACCCCAGGGAGACAGGAGCAAAGCCGCACGGGCAGCAGGGTCCCTCCACCTGTGCGGCTTTGCTCGGGTCTCCCTGGCCTGCTGGGGGGGAGAGGGGGCGCAACTAGTGCGCCCCCCCCCCCCCAGACCAGGCTTTTGTTGCGGGATGCCTGGGGTAGAGCAGCTGGGGTGGTGCCGGGGTGGG